AAAAAAAAAAAGAAAAGAAAAGACAAAGAAAATCTACTGTCATCAGCAACCCTGACCGAGACTTTTCAAAGAGGCACGTCTAGGACATGGACAACCATGCCTATGTCACAAGGTGGACAAGGCTCTTTCAGGCCTGTGACCCCACGTCACCAAGTAAGACTTTCACAATGCAGATTTTAACAAATGGATGCTTACAACTTTAACAAAAAAATATTTTGGTTTCGTATTTCCAGAAGGAAACATTTACAGAAAATATTCCTGACATTGGATTTGGCAATGTGTTCTTAACTATGAAACCAAAAGTGCAAGCAACGAAAGAAAACACTAATAAATTAGACTCCATTAAAATTCAGGCTCTTGTGAATCAAGGGACATAAGAAAGTAAAAAGACAACCTACAAAATGAGAGAGAATACATACAAATCACAAATCTGGTAAGCATATAAAATCCAGAACCCATAAAGGACTCCTGTGACTCAACAAAAAGGGACACGACCCAGTTAAAAGTAAACAAATGGGGCTGGAGATTTAGTTCAGTGGAGCTGTGCCTGCCTCAAAAGCACAAGGTTCCAAGTTCAATCACTGGTACCAAAAAGAAAAAGTAAACAAATGGCTCAAAAATATTACTCCAAAGAAGATACAGACAGCCAAAGCACACATGAAAAGATGATCAGCATCTTAGTAATTTGGGACTCCCCCAAAAAATCAAAACCTCAGTTTGATGCCAGCCTAGGCTACATTCTGAGACCCTGTCTCAAAAAAACCGTAACATGCCACATCACAATTACCAGGATGGCTATAGTACAGACAATAAAAAGAGTCAGTGCTTCTGAGGCTCTGGTGAAGTGCATGTACACTGACGACAGGAATATTAAATGGCGTGGCCACTGTGGGAAAATTTGGCAGTTCCTTAAAAAACTGAACAGATGGGTGTGGTGATGCACACCTGTAATCCCAGCACTTGGGAGACAGAGGCAGGAGGACTGCTGTGAGCGCCAAAACTGCTCCGGCTAGAGTAGTGAGTTCAAGGCCAGCCTGAACTATACGGCGAGACCTTGTCTTAAAAACAAAACCAAAAACAAAACAAAACCCTAAACAGAGAATGCATTACTATTATTATTATTTTGGTACCAGGGCTTAAACTCTGGACCTTGCACTTGTGAGGCAGGCAGCAGAACCACTGAACTATATCCCCAGTGGAGAATGTAATTACTATGTATCTCATACATATACTAACAAAAAATTTAAGGTTGGGGATTTAGCTCAGTGGTGCCGCTGCCTGCCTTGCAAGATCAGGGTCCCAAGTTCAATCCACCAGTACAAAAAAAAAAAAAAATTAAATTTAAAAAGGAAAACACTAAATATAGAGTTACTATATGACCAAGCAATGAAGCGTCTGCCTGTAAGACTGGAATACACAGACGCCAACAGTTATTTGTATGCTACTCTTCATTGTAGCACTACAACAGTCAAAGGTGAAAACAACCTGAGTGTCCACCAACAGATGAACAGATAAAAAACTGTGAAAGAGCCAGGCATGCATGGTGGTGCAGGCCTATAATCACAGCATTCAGGATGCTGAGGCAGGAGGGCTGCTGTGAGTTCAAGGCCAGCCTGGGCTGCATAGTAGAACCCTGTGTCAAAAACGAACAACCAAAAATCCCAAAACCAACTGTGGTCTATATATGCAAGGCCATAAAAAAGAAATAGAGCCTGTTATAGCCTACAACATGGGACCGGGGATTTAGCTCTGTGGTTCTGCAGCCCATCACCAGTACCAAAAAAAAAAAAAAAAAATCCTACAGCATGGGTATACCTTGAAAATGTTATGTTACATGAAAGGAGCCAGACCAAAAAAGCATAAACACAGTGTAATTCCTCTTCTAAGAGGTACGTGGAATGGTCAAATGAACCTCAACGAAAGTACATATGGAGGTTCCTGGGGTTTGGGGGGATAAAATGAGTTACTGTTTAAGGGTAGCAGCATCACTGCCTGAAGTGACAAAAAACTTTGGGAAATAGTGGTGCTTGGTGGCCAATGTTGTGAAAATAAATAATTAATGCTACTGATTATACACTTAAAAAGGATGAAAGTGGAAAGCTTTATGTTATATATGTATTTTGCCACAATAAAAATAGGCAAATAAAAGTAAATTTATTGGAATAGAAAAAAAAGCAAATATTATAGCTAAAATAATAAAGGAACAGAAAAAAATAATAATTAAAGAAATAGTGCAGCTAAAGTCATAAAGGGAAACAACAGCACAGCAGTACCTTTGCACACACTGCAGTCGGGAGAGGGGAGGCCGACATCTTTGGTTATAAGCTTCCCGGGCGGCGAGTCTCACTCCCGACAGCTGAAAGAGTACAAAACCTGTTTAACAAACTACCAATCTTGCCACTGATGTAAATCAACTGGTATCAGATCTGGTAGCAAAGAACAAGAAATTCAAGCAGCTAGATATCAAAAACAGGCATTCATGGTGGGGCAGGAAACTGGGAAGATTGCGTAGCAGTTGGAAGCAACACACATCTCAAAGCACTGAGCGCTACAGTAACTCCTACACGGCGATTCCAATGGGCTTGGAGAAGAGTGTTAAGGAGGCTGCTTTCCAATAAACCTAAGAAAGCTGAAAATTCTCTAATTAAAGCTTCAGAAACTTGAACTGGAACTTCTTCCAAAAGAAGACCAAGTTCATAACTATATTTTTATGTGCCTTCGTTGCTCATGTGGTAATTACACAAAGGATGTTCAGTGCAAATGTCTGAAACAGTGTTTTTCTAACACATCCTGGAACAATTGTCACCCAGGATCGATCGCTGGCGGCGAACCTATGGCACAACTCTTCAGTGGGCTGTCTTGTTATCACTGAAAAAAAAATCTCTAAAAGGTTCGCCATCACTGACTAAGACATTTCTGGGAGAAATCTATACAGTACTTGCAATTGGAATGCTGCCAACTCACAAATGGAATGTTTGTATCCCCCAAAATTCCTATTTAAACTCTAACCCTCAGTGATGGGTTAGGTGGAGCATTCCTAATCTAAAAATATGAATTCTGATTAGGGATGCTCAACCAGTAAAGTCTATATGAATTTTCCACGACCTGCGATACCAGACCTCAATTTAGAGTAGGACTTTTGAGAAGTAATTAAGTCATTCAGATCATGACAGCAGCATGCTCTCACCAAGCGCTGGACCTGCAGGGCTTTCTTAGACTTTCCAGTCTGTAGAACTATGACCCTGGTTTATGTCACCCAATCTATATTACTCTTGGTACAGAAGCCTAAGATAAGAGAGAGAACCCAGTCACCCAATATTAACATGTCAGTCTTAAGAAGACAGTTAGATATCAATAATCAGATCGTGTGGTGTTAAGTATCAACTCCAGTCTCCCAAACAAAAACAGGGTATCTTCATTTCTATTAAGAGATTTATCTCATATGATGTTCAAACTGCATGTTTTTATTAGCTTAAACATTCTTGATGAAACAGATATACATTAAAAGTCCAAAAAATTGTCATACCTTTTCATCTTCCCACTGAAAAAAATTACAGTCTTTTCTATCTCTACAGGCTGAACAGGCATAAAACCTCCGTGTTTCTTCCTTCCCCTGGCTCACTTTTACAAACAGGAGGGTAGGTCCTAGTTCCAGAATAGAGAAAAACATGACAAGCAACAGCAATGTGCATCAAGTTCCTAGCTTTCATTACCTTAAATAAAATTTGTTTAGGCTTTATGCACAACTTATAACAATATTTTTTTTCTCAGTCATTAACATTAAGGTACTAACTATTCAGAAATAATTTAAGAGAACCGGTCTCCCCAGAAAGAAAATGCTATGGGAAGTATGCTGTCCACTTGAATGTCACAAATTTGGGTCCACCGACTCCTCACGATGAATGTAATCGATGTGCACTGCAAACATATACAGTAATAATAAAACTTTTTAAAAGAAATGTGAAAACAAAAGAACACCAGAGAATTGAGAGTTCAGGGGAATCCTAAACGTTTAAGAGTTGGACACATCCTCTCTACAAGTTAAAGAAAAACTGGGTCTAGTATTTGCAGGCAAAATTTCTATCACTCTCTCTACTTACACAAAAATAAAAATAAAATAAAGATAGCAAAGCAACAAACGAAACCCCCAATTACTTGTCAACGGGCACAAAGCCATACATCCCCTTTCGCTATGCTCTGTCCCTTCCTCCAAAACAAATGTATAATAGCCGGGCAGACAAAACCCCCGGGAGCAGGGACTTCTTGAAAGGTTTCCAAGATAAGGTGAAAAAATAACATCCTGAAAAAGCGGTGCTTTTTTTTTTTTTTTTTTTTTTTTAAGAATCACATATGGTGGTGAAGAAAAGCATAGGAAAACTTCCAGAGAAAAATCCTAAATCCCCATGACAACCCACGGCCCCGGCGCCTGCCAGCCAGGCTGAGTCCAGACACCCACCTACCATGAGGGCAAAGCGGGGCTGGAGCGGCAGGATCCGAAAGGAGAACTACCTCCACTCCCGAGCTCCCCTGGCTCCCCGCGCTAGGTTCTGCCTTCACTGACTCCTGTCCGCTCCTGGGGGCCGCCATCTTTCCGCCGCAGTCCCAAAAACCTCAGTCCGAAACAAGGAGGAGGAAGAGCGCCGCCGCGAGCCGCAGGGACCCACAGCGCCACCATGCGGCTGGGAGGAGAGAGGGCCGCCGTGGTGGAAGCCTCTCCCCAAAGGCAGTGTAGTCTCTGTGGTTCCGGGGCCTGGCCCTTAAGCGGTCTGTATTCGTGGGACTCTTAGTTCTCCCTGTACAAAGAGATCCCCCATATCTGCCTTACCTGCAGCACCTGTAAACAAAAGTATATAGCCAGGAGATAAATCCTTGGAACAAAGGCTTGGTTAGGTGAGAAGTCCAAACCAACAAGCTGACAAATAGCTGAATAACTGAAATAGCTAAAATAGTTGCAACAGCTGCATGTGATGGAGCCCTCTGTTTTTATAGAACCATAGTGCCCATTCTGTAACTCCTGCACAACGTTTATAACTGTGAATTACAATTGCATACCCGTTGAGATTTGTACATCAGAAGGGAAGAAAACTGTCGCTATTTGCCATAATTGTCTACAGTACTTGGAAAATACCAAAGAATGTACAATTCTCATAACTTCCAGTTTGAACTGAATTTGGCAAAGTTGCAGGATAGGGGATAAACATACAAAAATCAAATGGTATTTCTGCATGCTAGCAACAATCACATGGACAATAAAATTCAAAAGTTACAATTGGTTGAATAAATGAAATATGTGCAAACCTAACATAAGATTTACTGGCCATATGATGATCATTATTTGCAAGAAAACAAAGTAAAAGATATGATTTAGTGCAATTTCTATCAAATACTCAGCCAGCTATACATAATATAGACAGAATTATCCTGATATTATATGAAAAGGCAGGAGAACAGCTAAAGTAATTTTTACAAAGGGTAATAAAGTGAGAGGAAGCATTCTATCCAATTTCAGGACTCATAGTTGTAATGATCAGGTTAGTCGTGATACTGTCACTGCCTTGATTCAGACCATTTCCCTTTCACAGTCACTTTGTCTCTGGGGAAGCACCAGAGGCTGCCTGGTGTCAGGTTCAGTGACTGAGGTGGATAAAGACACAGCGTCATGTTTCTTGTGGACCTGCCTTCCTCCTGCATGGCCTTTAGCAGCAGCATTCACTGTATTTTTCAGCACACATCTTAAACACACTCACGGAAGAGGACTTCTCCAGCTGCTTCAGAAAGTAGTAGGAAGGATGGAATAAGTGTGTTTTAGGGGAGAGGGCATATTCTGAAGGGATTAATGACAATGTGTCTTTTACTGTGATGCTTTTTTTTTTTTTTTTTTTTTTTTTTTGGGT